TGCCCCCCGCGCAGCTCTGCGCACCCCGAGGCGGAGCAGGAGCGGGGACTGGGGCAAGGAAGAGCCCGAGCACCGCCTGCGGTGCTACCGCACAGCCGGGGTCCGGGTGGGTGCTTCTGCAGACCCCAGGATGACGGGTGCCGGGTTGTGAGAACAAGAGGCTGTAGGTCAGGCCTGCTTCCGACGCTGTGCTTAAAGCATCCATCCTTGCCTAAACTTTCTGAAGGGCTCCTGCTTTCCTTCCTGTTGTGTGTCAGGAGGCTTTATTTGGCCAACGGCTTGCCTATGCACGTGGAATGTGCCGATTAACGTACTCCTGTTAAAATATTCTGCATCTTAGATAGAATAAAAGAGCACGAGTCTCAGCCGGTTTTCAAGTACATTTAAAAGGCCTTGTCTTTGTTTCTAGGTTTGTTTGGAAGATATTGCCAGGGCTGAAAGTCATGGCTATCCAGACAGGCTGCTGCCCAAGGTCTTGCTGCGGAAGGCTGAGTGTCTGCTGTGTTTGGGGAGGTTACAGGATGCAGCAGATGCCCTCAGGGTGGCGGAGAATAAAATTGCTGTGGATGGGATCGTGGCTAGTCCTGCACACCAGGCACTGCTAAAAAAGTTGAGTCAACTGAAGATTAAAATGCATGAGAAAGAGAGCTGTCCAGAGCCTGCACAAGAAGCATGTGGTGACATCCAAAGAAAGTCAGAGATCTGGGAAGAGAATGACAGTATTTCAGGCGCATCTTCATCCTTGAGCTTGAATTTTGATAGAGAGAGGGGACGTCACTTGGTGGCCTCCCAGGACATCCTGCCAGGACAGAGCCTGTTGAAAGAGGAGGCCTTTGTAAGCGTGCTCTGCCCGGGGGAGAGCCGCCTTCTGCAGGACAGCAGTGAAGCAGCGTGGGATACTCACGTCACCAATGCAGATCTTTATTGCCATCGTTGTCTGAGGCAGCTCTTAGCCTCAGTGCCTTGCCGTGGGTGCAGCTACACAAAGTACTGCAGCCAGAACTGTGCAGACGTGGCGTGGGAGCAGTACCACAGGACGGAGTGCTCCCTGGGAGCGCTGCTTCTCACATTAGGGGTCTTCTGCCACGTTGCCTTGAGGACTGTTCTGCTGGCGGGATTTGCAGAGGTTAGCAGGCTGGTGGAATGGTCCCACGGTGGTGACGAGGACCTTCGTAACCCTGAGGCAAGATGCAGACATCTCAGCGAGGCACCAGGTACCAGAGCTGGTACCAGAGGTATCCCTGGTTGTAACGACAGTGGTCAGTACCAGAGTTCTTACCAAGCTGTCTTCAACCTTTTGCCACATACTGAGAAGCATAGCCCTGAACATAAGTTCCTTTGCCTGCTGAGTGTAGTGGCTATATGCCAACAACTGCAAGAAGATGGGCTGGAGGCTGCTGTTTTGAATCAGGAATCATCTGAGAAGGGGGCCAAACCAAAGACATCGGGTGAATTGTCTCCAGAGCTGAAGACTGTGGCAGAAGCAATGCTGAGGCATGTGTTGCAGCTGCAATGTAATGCGCAAGCGATCACTGTAATGCAGGAATCGGGTAAGATAAAAACTTTTAAGCCTTTCTCTGTTGTTCTTGCTCGTCTAGCTTGTGTGAAGTGAGGAGGTTGAATTATCAGTTGTAAAAAGCTCCCACTGCAGATGGAAACGACTTGCTTAAAATGTAATGGCCTGTCCCTTACTGCTCTGTTCTTCGGTGCACATGTAGAGGGGACTTAGCTATTATTTATTGCAGCAATATACCAGAAAGCTTTCTGCTGCTGTCTGCAATTGGTCACAGTGCTCGTTGCATAAGCTGCGTGGGCTACTGAGTGTCCGTTCTCAACCTGCTTGTTTTTCCTCTGTCTTTAGGGTCCGGAGATGGTGCTGTTGTAAATAAGAAGTCTGTGCGCCTGGCGACAGCCTTCTTTCCTGTCCTCAGCCTTCTGAACCATTCGTGCTGTCCCAATATCAGCGTGTCATTTAGCGGGACAGCTGCCACTGTCAGGGCATCGCAGCCAATCCCAAGTGGCCAAGAGATTTTCCATTGCTATGGTAAGTATTAACTCCCTGTTTGTCTCAAGGCACAGCCATCCTTTCACCTCTACTTGGCATGCTAACTGATTGCTATGAATGTCATAATTCCCAGTATAACATTGCTAGAGTCTTTGTTTATATATAAGCCTTAATCAAAGATATCAAGGCAAGATTTTATCTCCTGAGCCCACTGTTACATTTTCAGTCTCCAGTTATGTCCTCTCCAAAAGATGATATATCTAGTCTCAGTTACAAGAAAGACAGATTTAGTCTGATGTCAAGAACTGTGCCTGTTTAGAGATTTCTACCCTTGCCATCCCTTTGCAGGGCCTCACCGATGTAGAATGAGGGTTGCTGAGAGACAACAGCTTCTCAGTCAGTATTTCTTTGAGTGTCGCTGTCAGGCATGCCTTGATGAGTTAGAGTCTGATGTCAAGAGTGTGGTGTCCGTGAGAAACTCATTCTGCTGTCCTAGCTGCCGGGCTCCAATGCAGGTAGTTCTTCCATAGTTACGACTGTATAACTTATCGGGATGTGTAACGTTTGGGTCTCTGGGAAAGTCAAGAGTTAAAGACCTCAGTCTGTGATGTCTGCTCAGAAGGCAAAAGCCCCTGTAGAGCCGAGACAGTATCTCACTGTTCTTAGCAGCTTTCTTGTAATGTTCTTGTATGCCAGTCTTCCAGCATTACAGGGAAAATAATGCCTTTAACAGCAAGTTAAAATCCCTTTGAACTTGACGAAGGAACTTTAGAATATCGGGGCCGTGGACTAGGGCAAGGGGGATATTTGCGAAGGAAAATGGAGGCCTGGAGCCTAGAGCAGAAGGTGTGCGTACAGGGGCTGTAGGTAGAGAGTCACGCTCTCCGCAGTTCACAGTATGCAAAGCAGCGTGTAGCGTGGGTCAGACGGGGAGAAGTCAACATCGCATGCATTTTGTACGAACGTTAGTTGTGTACCACGTGACCCTGCTTCGGCCTCATCTATAGCTCACGTAGTCGTAGCTGTTCCTGGAAATTTCCCATGAAATCGAATAAGCTAATAGCAATTTACAAGCAACTCACTTTGTTTACTGAATGCAGCTGAGAAACAATTTAGTGTCTCTCTAACACAAGACAGAGATAACAGAGATGGAAAGTAAGCTTGGAGTTGAACGTGAGCAGGAACGATCACAGGGATGATTTCCACAGGGGGAAGACATGCTTTGTTGTTCAAATGGAGCTTGTGCAGTCTCAGTCAGCAGAGAAAGCCTGTCACACCGTTTACGGGACCTTCAGCAACAAATCAAGAAAGCATTAGAACTGCTGAGAGCCAGGAAGGCTGGTAAGGCTCAGCTTTCTCCTTTAAGGTCAGCAGCTAATGAGTACACATCGGGAGGCGTTGTTCTAGCCATGAGATGGCACTGTTGCTTATGCAGTGGGGGTCTTCTGGCCTGCAGCCTGGTGTCCCTGGGGACTTGAGCTTTAGGTTTTTTATACCCCTGATCCGGGTGTTAATCTAAGTCACACGTTGTTCCACAGTACCTAAAAGAACTCAGGGTAACGTTGGAGTTATGCATTCCCAGGCCTTGCTTTCCTGGAGCGAGTCGGGCCAACGCTGCGTTAGAATAAGCAGGGTTGCAGATGAAGTCGATGTTGAATCCTAACCAAATCCAAATCCAGCCATGTAAGATGCAAAGATGAGATTGGACTGATTTTATTTCACGGATCATGGAAAGCTGGAGACTGGCTGGTAGGATGAATTTTTATACCCTGTTTTGTTATAGATCAGGCTATCAAAATACTCCTGAAGTGTCAGATGGATGCTGGAAACTTCTTGTCTCCAGAGCATTTGCTGATGGGAGAGATGGAGGATCATCTGGCACAGGTCTATGCTACTCTTGGTATGGCATTGTCTTCTCATTATCTTTAGTTGTCTGAACTTTGAATTTAACATGACTAGCCTTTTCGCTTTTCTCCTACTGCATTTCTCTAGTTTTGACAGAAGGGCTTTCAGAAAGACTACTTTAGCCAAAACTGCGTTCCCAGGAGCCAGTGAACAATAACGTGATCTCACGTTCTTGTAGATTCCCTGTCCTGGTTCTGAGGTCAGCAGCATCCCGAGAATGCTGTGGACACAGTTTATCACATTTTGCACAAAGCCGTCGGATTCTTCGGGTGGCAGTAGCTCTAGGAAGTATTTATTCATGACTCATTTTTTGTTTTCTGTTGGTTTTTTCCACCAGGGAAGTGGCAGGAAGCAGCCAGACACCTGGAGAGGAGTATTGAGATTGTGGAAATGCATCACGGGCCATCAAGTGTAGAAATAGGTCATGAACTTTTCAAGCTGGCACAAATTCTCTTCAACGGGTAAATTTGCTTTCATTCTCTGTCCCTTCCCTGCACCGCCCCTGCGTGTCTGACACAGCCTCATGGCAGGTGGTCCCTGGCACCCTGCAGGGTGTCTCGCAGGACCCTGGGCAGTCTGGCACAGGTACAAAAGTTGGCCATTACTCCAGTGCAAGTTCATTAACCCCAGTGGGGCTCACTTGTACCTCATGACTCTCTTTGGACCCATTTCTCGGCTTTGTCCCTGTCTAGTCTTTTCTTCTCCCTGGCTCCGTTTATTCCCTGTCCTATTGTTTTATTTTGTCAACTCCTCGCCCTTGGTGTTCATGCCTCAGCTGTATAACGTTGCTGACATCTTTTCAAAGGCAGAAGTAAAATCCTCTTGCCCTGTTTTGGCCATCTTTTGGGAAGCAAATCCCTGACTGCTTCTGAAAATCTTCTCACAACACGTCCCTTTAACTGAACTAATTTTAGCAGGAGCTGCAGCGAGGAGGTAGTGGGTACCTATACTCAAAGATAACGTTTTAAGTTTTTGTCCATCTCCTTACCTATTTTCCCCCCCATCTGCCCTTTGCAGCTGAAGCGCACGCTATTTGCCTGGTGCCAGAAGGCAGTGGAGGATAGGATCTGTACCCATGAACAGGTTTAGGTTTTTGTTGGGGAGGGGTTAAAGGTTGCGTAAGCCAAGGAGCTGAATTAAGTATTTTGTATACTCCGTTCTTATGCTCTTCCTATTTCAGATTTGCAGTTTCTGAAGCTCTGAGCACGATTCAAAGAGCAGAGGAGATTTTGTCCGTGCACTGTGGTCCTCAGAGTGCTCAGATCCAGGAACTACAGGAGATGAAGACCTGTCTGTTAGAGCTTCCCAGAAGCATCCTTCAGAGGACTTAATTTCCCTGTCAAAGGAAGCCGCAATGTGATCTTTCATCAAAGCTAAGTTTCATGTGGTAAGGTAGTCATGTGGTACAAGCTGGAAAATCATATGTAACAACAACTTGAATGAAATCTGAAATGCTTTTTAGTGAGACTGTTGTAAATAAAATGACCAGTTCTACCGTGAGGGGTCTGTGTGTGGTATGGTGGGAATAGATGCTGTTGTGTAATTTCTGCATGTGGGTTTGAAGCAAATGTTTGAGATGCTTGTGTATGCCTGTGTTTCTGGAGATGTGAATCTCCCACGTGCGGTACCCTGATGGTTATGAACATGCAGTCATCCAGACCACACTGCCTTTGATTTCTAACGCTATGAAGCACTTTTCTTCTTGCCAGTGTGAAACGTAAATGGTTGGAATGGGTGAGGCAGCAGGCTGGGAAGCGCAAACTTACAAGAGGGGGCACTGCAGAACTTGGGGGGCCGCCAGCGCAGACCTGTCAGTGATGAGGGATTCGGTATAAACAACTGGCGTGGGGTCGGAAGGCAGGATAGGGACAAACACAGTATATGCCAGACTTGACGCTTGCCTGTAGGACACAGCGCTGCATTGTGGCTCTGTCTGGGCAAAAGGGGAGTGTGAAGGCATATGACGTAGGCACACCGTCTTTCAAGGGAGAATACTGGGGCTTGCTGAGATTACTAGCAAAAGCTCTTTTATTGCAGCATGAAGGCATAAGATTTGCAAGTTGTGTCTTTGTGCAGCAGAGCAGGGAGCCAGGATCCCTCCCAGTGCCACCCTTTCCGTTTGGGCCCTACCATTGCAGATTATTGTGAAGGGATCTAAACACTCCGGGGATCCAGGATCTTGCCAATGAAGAGGAGGGTTCCTGTGGTATCATCTCGCAGTACAAGAAGGAAAGGTCTGTCCACGTGATATTCTATGGGGAAGGTCAGACGAGCAGCATTCACCCCAGGATTTGGTGTGGATCTTTCCCCATCTTCACTAAGCTCCAGAATTGCCTTGTGTTGCACATGAGATAGCTTAATAGGTTTGGCAGAAATCTTGGTAAAATCAGGTGATGTGAAAAGTGATTGGAGCCCTGGAGGAAAGAAAGAAAATTCCATTAGCTGAAAGCATAGATTCCAGGTGGGGGAGCAGTACTGCTAACGCTGTGATCCAGGAGGGCACGTCGCTGCTCTGGTGTTGTTTATTGGGGGTAATGGGGAGAAGCAGCTTACATCTGTTTGTACTGAGCTTCTCCCTCTCAATCTCAGAAGCGCTGTATGGGCTTGGTGGAAAGATGTGATAAAAAGTTGAGGAGTCCTGGACCAAGGTGATTTAGTTGCTGGTGAGATCTCTACAGACTGACAGCAGGACCTAACTAATAACCCACCAGCTTCACGTTCTTCTGAGAGCAGGAAGGAACTTGCCCACTGCTTTGAGCCCTGGCAGTCTGTAGAGGGTGTGTGATGTACATACTTGTCTCCTTTAGTGTGCTGCCAAGCGCCTCTTCATAATTCAGCTTTAGTTTGGGCAGGCTTAGCACAGCGTGGACTGTCTTCAGCTCCTTGTCTACATCGTGGACAAACTCAGAAGTAAGGCTTTCCTCAATCAGAGTCATATTCTGGGTCACCTTCGTCGGCAGGAAGAACATGGCGCTGATTTGCTCCGTCAACGGCAGCTGGGCAATCTGGAAGGCCAGTTATAAATAAGAAAGGGTCACATCAATAACAAACAGCGTTACCCATCCCGCACCAGGCACAGGCCTGAATCTCGGCTGCCTGGTCAGCCTTTCCAGTTAACATTTGGTCCTCTTCCCTGTTTGCTTTTATCGGACATGATGCTTCCTGAACCTTCTTGGCGCCTGGGCTTTCGTCAACCCGCGCTGCACTCTCTCTGCTGTTACACGGCAAGTGCTCGCTCTCACCTGTCGAATCCTGTAATGAGCTGCAGCATTGCTTTGGGGGAGTCTCGGCTGGAACACCTTCGAGCTCACGCTCTACAGTGAAAGACTTGTTGAAAGAGGTAGAGGTGGAAAAGTTCCTGCCCTTCTTGCCCAACTTTAGGCCAGGCAATAGAGGCTAGTGGGACCTGTGCATTATTTAAATTCTGGACTGCTTGTCACATAGCCAATGCAGAAGTAGGATATTCTAAGAACCAACGTACTGCCTTTCAAAACAGGGATTGCAAAACTAGCCTGATGGGAGGAGCAAGGCTGTCTTCTGGAATGGGCTAACAGGTAAGTGGAGCTGAGCCTGTTCCTCAGGAGGTTTAGGAGATCTTGTGCAATATTTGCTCTCTGACCTTGCAGTTGAGTTCTGAGTCAAAACCATATCGCAGTATGGCTTTGGGGTCTGACATCATGGACACCTTCACAGTTCTGTCCTCATCCAGATGGAAGTCCTTCAGGTCAGTCTTCTTGGTGTCAAACTTGGTTTTCCACGTCCCTATTTTTTAAAAGATAAAATGGAGGGTTTTCTGGAAAAATAGCATATGAAACCAGGCTTGTGCCTGTGGCTGAGTAATCTTGCGCTTTATATATACAGCATTTGTGCTTTAAGAGTTGAGACACAACTGAGTGATGACAGAGATGGAAATAGGCTGATCGGAGCTACTGATTTACTGCCGCTCTTTGGCCCCTCCTTTTCATCTGAGAATTGGCTGAATGGGAAATAAAAAATCAAGCCAGTGCATGGGTGGAGTAGCTATTGGGAAGCCGATGTCTACTTATGTAATTGCAAAACTATTTTAAAGGGTAACAATTGTGTCAATGCATATAAAGTGCTTCTCTCCCCACCCTTTATTTTGCTCCTTGTCTCTAAGCGATAATTCTCCAGGACGCGGGCTTACAGCATGTTCTAGAACTGCTCTAGTATCTCCCTCCATTCCCCCTACGGTGGTAAAAAGCCTCAGGACACTCTTTAAGCTGTGCCTTCCCTACATGGAAATAGTCTGTCTCTTGCCGTGGAGTTTTGTGAGCTTAAACTTTCTTCTCGGGTCTCCTACTGCGAACAGGTCAAGATTCAGCCTCCCAAGAGTAGTAATTCCTCCCTCGCGGACTATTTCTGTTCAGGTAGCATGCATTTTTTCTTCTTTACTAAACGTTCTCAAACACTGTCTCCTGACACTCTGTCTCTTTGTCAGTCTGTTTGCTCTGTTGGAAGCGAGCGCATTCCCTCGCATCTCTTCTAAGGCGTGCTTACGAGGCCCTCTCTGTACCCGAGTACACAACGTTCTTACCCTTGAAGTAAGCAGCCCCAGCAAGGAGAATACTGACATCTGTGGGCATGTCCTTCATAAACCGCATAATCCTTCCCTTTGTCTGCTGTCGTACCCAGTTGTTGATTTCTTGGAGGTCTAGCTGGGTATTGCCACTTAGTGCCCTCAGACGCATCTTGTAGGACTTCTCTAGTTGGCTGTGAAAACCGGGCTTCACCCGCAGTCCTGGGGAACAAAAACACGGACATTGCAGCTAGCTCCCTTACCAGAACAATCTCAAGGCAGCAGATTGCCATCCAAAGCCCAGCAGCAGCTCTCATAAAGCATCTGTGGCTGCGTGTAGACAGAAACCTGCTTTGAAGAAGCATGACCGAAGGCACATGGAGGAAACTGATCCAAATGCTACAGGATAACAGCACGGGATAACTCTCTTCTGAGAAGGAAAGAAAGGAGATAAGAACAGAAGGCTTGGACACAGCTATTCCTACATCAGTCTTTCTTTCTCCAGCTCGCTTTATGAGTACGGCTTACTCAACCTATTGGATTCTTGGAACCAGCAGGTTCCAAAAGATGGCTCTTAGCTTTCTCAGATGTTTATTGCGTGCCGAAAGCAGACATTTCAAATAGTTCTGCAAGGAATTAAACGAAGGAATATAGCTGAATGCTATCATAAATAGAAAATGTGATTTGTGGTTCTTGGAAGTTAGCAACACCTGCCAGAAAAACTACAGCGAAGCGAAAATTCTCAGCAAGTTTCTTCTAGGTCTCCCACGCGTTAGCTGCTCTGTCACCGGTGTCTTTGTGTGCATGAGTCTGGTCTTTTATTTACGAGCACACAAACTGTCCAGGCTTTTTCTGGAGCAGCAGCAGCAGCATTCCGTGCACTCTCTGTGTCCTGCCTCAAGAGTGTCAGAGCCAAAGCTGTTAGTGCGGTGTTACTCGGTGTGTTCTACCTGCTGTTAGTTATTTAGGTAAAATTTGACAGAGGGGAAGCAAGACTTTTACTTTTCTCCAAGATGACACGGGAGGCACTTTTCATGCTTTTCTCTGGTCCAGTCACGCTGGTCAGTAGGTCCTTGTAAGTGTTGTGGACCTCAGCTTTGTTAAGCAGGTCATAGAAGAGAGCGCGAGAAATCATGTCTTCTGTTCGTTCTCCAGCCCCTGCCGACGAGAAGGACAGCAGTATGAGGGGAGCGCTGTCGAGCCAAGCGGCACGTGAGGAAAAGGGCAAGAACTCACCAAGCGAGAGAGCAGAAAGTGCAGTAGCCAGGCTGAACGGAGACAGGAGCACGTTGGCAGTGGCCGTCCGGCTGGATTGCTGTCGGTACAGGTCATAGCCAAAGTTGGAGACTGCAGCGGCCAGCTTGTTCACAGGGCTCTTATAGAATGGATCTTCCTCTTCGACCTCGCCAGCGTTCGCTCCATCAGCGGTGGCAGAGTTCTAGCAGGTACAGGGAGCGCTTTGCTTACGCTTGCAGTTTATGCGAGTTTACAGTTGTGATAAACATTTCAAAGGCAGCCACTCTACAGATACTCTGCTATCATCTACAGAAATACTGGCTTAATCCTACTGATAGGGAGCATAGGAACAGTTACTTTACTTTAAAGCGTCCCAGTAAAGCCGAAGGCAGCACTCGGATCGGAATCCACTATTTCTGCCTCACGGTCATCCCCTGATGTAACTGGTTTTATCTAGGTAAAGCAGGAGTTAGTCTCATTATGTTGCTAAATAAAATCCTAGTAACTTACGAGGGTAGCGCTTAATCCTTCCGTAAGATTCTTTAACATTAGATTACCTGCTCCCAGTACCTCTCCCTCACTCCGCATGTTGTCTCCTACTCACCTGCTCAGTAGCCAAGTTCTGGGATCTGCTTGGGACAGTTAAGAGACCCAGGAAAAGGAGAACCACTGGAACCTGCATGCCTGAACCTACAGAGCAAGAACATGACAGAGGTAGTTGGACCAA